GCTTTCTGAGTACATACATAAAATTTTTTCTATTGAAAAAATAAAGGTTCTCAATGAGAAGTTTAAAAATACATAGGGGTGGGGGCAGGTACTGTGACTCAACGACTGGTCCCAGGTCACACAATCAGACACCAGCAAAACTGGGACTGAGATCCAGGCCTCCAGTGCCCAGTAGGGAAAGGGCACTCATACATAGCGGGCATGTCCATTGTGCAAGGCAGTCACAGACCCCCGAGTGGCAATGGCTGCGTTTGCTTTGGTCGGTGAGAAAGCTGGGGCTCAGAGACGGCACACACCCAGCTGGGACCCTGTACCCCGGCAGCCGCCTTTGAGCCCAGGTCCGTCCAGTCCTGGACCCATGTACCTCAGTTGCCTCCATCATGCAAGTATGATGTTTCTTACATGAACACTGCATGTGTATAGAAATAAACTGTAAGCCCCACTCCAGGACATGTTATCCAGTTATCACTGGCTCCTGCTGCCCCCACCAGGGCTGCTAACTTTTATTAGGTTGTACCAGCTGCCTCTGGGTGAGCACTGGCCCCAGACACAGCTGGGACACAGGAGGGCTCCGTGGGCCTTTTGCTGTGGCTCGTCTCTCTGCGGCAGGCCCGGGCGTGGGGAAGAGACAAGGGGCTGGCTGAGGCAGAGGGGCTGGTCCCAGAGCCAGTCCAAAGGGGACAGGAGAAGCCATGCCCTCCCCTCCCCCATGCCCTGGTGGGAGGAATGCACACCGCTAAGTGAAAGGAGCCAGTCTGAGAGGCAACGTGCTGCACAGCACCCACTACAGACAGGCCCGGACTTAGCGACGACTGCACTTAGCTGCAGCTCTCCGATGGTGCAAAAGCAAGCCGCGCTCAGTGGCCACCAAACTTCGGATTCCGAGTTGGGCTAGCTGTATGCATTCGATCCTCCGTCAGCCTGCAGTCACCGGAAGCAGGTGCCAGGGAGCTGAGCTGTGATGGTCTACACATTGGCCGGATTCAATGCATGTTTGACTTACGATGTTTTGACTTTCAGCAAAAAGTAAGGAGCCAGAGAAAAGACGCGTGGTGGCCAGAGTTGGTGGAGGGCAGAGAGAAGGGACCAGCACACAGGGTTTGAGGGGCAGTGAGCCTGCTGTGTGGGATGGTGTCCCCACGGGCATACATGGCGGTCCACATTTGTCAGCATCTACAGACCATTCACCACATGTGAGCCATGGACTCTGGTTGGTCACAATTCGGCAGTACGGATCCAGCCGTTCTAATGAACGCACAGCACTGATCATGTAGGATGTTCATAATAGGGGGATTTGTGAGGGCAAGAAGAGGAGATATATGAGAATCCTCTGTCAGCCTAAAACTGTTCTAGAAATAGTCTCATAATGCATTAAAAATGAGCCGAGTTCACAGAGGACAAAATATCTGGATTTCTGGCTTCATCAGAAAAATCCGGTCTGGGAGCAGGGCCTGTGTTCCTGTGTCTGCTGGAAGCCAGCTGTGCTCCCGTGACTTCTCCTGGGGCTCCCTGTCCTAGAGCCCCCCAGGCCACCATGGCCCACGTGGGCCAATGACACCTTCCCAGGTCAGCCGTTTGGCCTTGGGGGTCATTGGAGCTTGGGAACCCTAACTACAAATCTGCCCAGTGCTTTCTAGATTGGGTTCCCTGCAGATCTTCCTTCTCTGGGGGCAGTAAGGCTGGGGAGGGGATGGCACCTGCTCACTGCCCCTTCTACTTTACCTTCCGGACCTACTGGGCTTAATGTGTAGGATTTACTCCAACAAATAGAACATGGGTAGAACACATATGCAAAGCCCTCTAATGCCTTCCTCTAACTGATAGGGAAACTGAGGCTGAGAAGGGCTGTAACCAGAAAAGGGGGTTGTGCAAGGGTGGAAGCAACACTGGGTCCACTGGCTGTCCCTCTGTGGGACACCCTGTTGTCCACCTGTGTCTCATCTCTGGTAGGTCGCCATGGCGGTACTCGTTTCTGTTGGGACTCAGTGGTGTGAGTCATGGAACCTCCCTCCATCTGTCCAGGACTTGGCTGATATCCTGGGCAAGTTTCGTTCTGCTGCCCCACCTGCTCCTCAAAGGCCCTCTCGATTCAAGGCCATGAGGCTCAATGAAAAGTAAAGCCAGAAACCATGTGTGCATCAGGTCTGTGAGGTGCACGTGGCCCACGAGATCCCTGTATGGATGCCTGACACCCCCATGACAGGTGCGGAGAAGGCCCTCTGCTCCTGCAGGATGCCCCTCCGGGCGTTCGCCACCAGGCTGTTTTTTGTTGCTCAGCCTCCATCCTCTGGGAATTCTGGCCCGCCAGGACCACTACCCCTGCCCTGCTTCAGGCTGCACCTGCCACACTGGGCTACTCCCAGCATTTCAGGCTGCTCCCATGCCTTTGTGACCAGGCTTTATTTTTAGGAAAGGAGGTTTTGTGGATGCTGCTGCCTCCCCCCAGAGCACCTCTGTCCTGTATCATCGTATCAGTCACCTTCTTCTAGCGGGTTGACTGTACATGAGAATCTCACACTACTGTGTAAAGCAATCATTGTGTGCCAGACACCGTGCGGCAGCTGATCTTGGTCATCTTGGTGGGGAACAGAATGTGTGGACAAATACTTGTGGAGCGGTGTGGCTGGCACCATGCCAGAGGGCCAGGCATGGGGCCAGGCAGGCACAGGAGGGAGCAGCTGAACTCAGCTCAGAAGTCAGGCGGAGGCTCAGAGGAGTGGAAACCCGAGCCGGGTCTCGCAGAACAAGTTTGTACTAGGGGCAGGGGTGGAGCATGGAAGAACACTGTGTGTTTGGGGAGCACACTGGGAGCTCAGGGGTGCTGGCACGCGGCTATTGCCTGGACGGGAAGACATTTTCCAACAGAGACTGAGTGGCGCAGCAGCTGCCGTCGCGGGCATTAGGGATAGGGGAGCCAGCTGTCACCGGATCCTCTTATCAGATCAGCCGGCTGCCTCCATTCCTTTCTGCTCTTTCTTGAATTGGTCAGGAGCTCAGCAGCCAAGCGCGTGAAACCACACCTGCTGTGTGCTGAGCGCTGTGTGCTGAGCGCGTGTTGGCGGGAGAGGGTCACGTGGGTGCCAGTCTGCCCGTCACCTGTTCTTCCTTTGATTTATAGGGGCGAGCTGTCCAGCTTGGGCCCCTTCACATGCCAACGTCACTGCGGGCTGGGCCTTTGTGACCCTCCCCCAGCACTGCGGGAGAGACTTTACGGCAACAGTTTGTTTTCGTTTTGTTCTGTTTTGTTGGTGTGGGTTCACGCTGGGGGGTTGTATGAGTGTCCCCAAACCATATACAAAACTTTGTTGCTATGGCTGTTCGCCTTGGGAGAAGGCACCCAGGCTTTCGTCAGAGCCTGAAAGGGCCCTGTGACCCTTTACATAGGGGTGATTGCCAAACAAACCTCTCACAAACTGTTTGTCCAGCAAGTGGCCGTGGGGAGACAGCACTGTAGCCGGAAGCCGGGCCAGAGCCACTCCCAGGCCCCATCAAAGGAAGGCTTCCTTTTGACAAACACAGTGTTTCCCCCCGCCTTCTGCAGATGTATAGATCTAAACCGGGACGTTTTGGCCAAATATCACACAACAACAAAACTCACTTTACCTACTAAAATTCAAAATTTTTAAAAAACATTGGACTATTCATAATAACAGCAGTTCTAATTGTTTTCTTTCTTCTTCTTCTTCTTTTTTTTTTTTTTTGTAAGTATGTGGATATGTGTTTGCCATTTTAGTCCATTTAGTTTATATACCCTTGCATTTTCTGATTCTGGAGCTGGAGTGCTGAGGACCCATTGTAACTGAGGAATGGGGTTTCGTCTGTCTGTTATAAAATGAAATCGACACCTCACTCACGAGGCCTCCAGTAGAGATAAGATGCATGATGAGCCTGTACATCACGAGGACATCATTATGTCATTGCCATCAAAGTAAAGCTGACTCCCGGACGCTACAACACATTTAGCACTGAGCCTTGAGTCATGCCAACTATAGCACAAGTCCAGCTTTTTTAAATAGTAGAACTAACAAAGGGGTAACGCCCGGCATTACTGACTGCCTCCTGAGAGTGCCGGGGAATGCGCTTTGCAGCCATTTCAGGGTGCAGGGCCTCCGCTCCAAAGAGGGGCAGGCCTAAAGGAGGGCAGAGGGGAGACCAAGGCCCCGTGGACCCAGGATGTTGGGACTGAAGTCCATTAAAGGGGTGACGTGGGATGGGGGCTGCACAGCCAAAGGAGGAGGCTGTCCCATCAAAAACCCCAACAATTCTAATAAATGAGAGTGCACTTTCAAACTAGAATAAAGCTATGTGCCTGTGAGCAAGTAAGAAATACTGGGAGGCTGCAGGGGTGTGGAGGGCAGGAGCCCCCAGGAAGGGTCCCTGGAGCTGAGGAAGCAGCAGAGGGACTGCATGCTGCACAGCGGGGACAGCACATGCAAAGGCACTGGGGCAGTCAGCATGGAGCCCCGCGTGGCTGCAGAGCGGGAGCAATGGCAGGGCTCTGTGGAGGCCTGGGGCAGTCAGCATGGAGCCCCGCGTGGCTGCAGAGCAGGGAGCAATGGCAGGGCTCTGTGGAGGCCTGGGGCCTGCACTCAGGAGCAGGATTCAGGAGTTCCGCACCAGACAGCGAGGGGACACCACAGCCGAGGCTGCTGGGAGACACCTCCATCAGCAGCACCTTCCACGGACAGAAGACGGGCTCAACTCGGAGTGCAGAGTCGACAGAGAGCGTGAAGGCGACAGCACTGAAGCCACTCTCCCTTCCTTCCTTTTATACAGGGAGTCTTCAAGACTCTCATGGACGGCTTGAGTCAAGAAAAAACTACGCATGGATTTCAATATTTTTTCACATCAAAATAAAGTCATCTTTTAAGTCCATTTGCCTTGAACCTATCAAAGGACCCTTGTATTGTGAAACCACCTGGGACCATTTCAAACCACCTAGAAATGGATAACTATGACTGGGTTTGCAACTTTTTAAATATCAGAGGAACACTGACACATTTTCACCAATTCAACCTTATCTTCGGCTGGTGGAAAGAAAGAAGAAAGAACAAACATCTACAGCTCCGAGTAAATGGTTGTGTAGATACGTGTGTGTGTGTGTGTGTGTGTGTGTCCAAATGCATGTCCTTGTGCGTGACCTTAAGCCAGGGTAGGGGGGTAAGGAATGCAGAAGAAAAGTTCAGGCAGCTGTAATGAGAATAACAGGACTTGGATTTGGGAGATCCCGGTGTGCTACTAGTTAGTTAGCTTCAGAACCTAGAGCAGCTCATAGCCCCTCTCCGAGCCTTGGTTTCTCCATCTGTAAAATGGGGTTGGGAGGGCCAGGTTCATGCATTCTTCCGTCTTCTGGGTCTCAGAAACCGCAGTGTGTGAGTGGATGCGGACACACAGATACAGCCTCTGTCCTGAAGGAGCTCACAGCCCAGGTCCTGGGCCCTGGCGGGACAAAGGAGGAGACAGGTCATTACAGAGCAATGGGATGGAGGCTGCCACCCCAGCCCCCAACTGGAGGGACCTGTGTCTCTTTGCCTGGGGTTTTGCTTCCCTCCCAAGCAGCAGTCGACTTATGGGTGGGCTGGTTTTGGGGGTGAACATCCTCTGTATCCCCCAGAATCTCCCCAGGGGCCCAGTGCCAGTTACCCCTCTGGTGACTTACTCAGTCCTGCTGCCTTCAGGGACTCCTCCTCCTCCTCACTGCCCCGCTCCCTTGACAATGTTTTCTGGGATTTTCTCCCATCAAACAGTGAGCACTCAGTCCTCATCTAAGGGAAAGCCCACTTCAAACGGCAGGCGCCCAATCCCTCCAAGGGAGAGTGGGTGAGACAGGATCTCTGGGAAGAGGCATCTGAACTTAGCTCAGGGGAGCCCAGAGACAGATCCCCAGTGCTAGATGCCTGTATGAAGTCGGAATGAGCACTATCATTACAGCGAACCGTGCTACCCAAAGCCTGGCGCTGGACCTGCGGCAGGTCCTTGAACAATCCCTAGTTGGTCAAATGACAGAAAGCATGAATACAAAGCTGCAAAAGTTAAAGATTAGATTAGGAACTCAACAGAGCAAACAGAGCGTTACTGCAGAGTCTGGAGTGCCCTCCAAGCTCAGAACACCTGACCTTCTCCACGTTGGTCCTGTGTATCCTGTCCAAAAGCTACATAAGTGGGGCTTTGTCCCAAGGCCTTTCCACCATAGGTCAACCTGTAGAAAAACAAAGCACAAGGGCCCTCGCATGGGATTTGGCCTCGGGCCTCCGGATCACGAAGTGTTCTGTCCTCTTCAAGGACCTCTGGCCTCCAGCTTCCCAGGACTCGCTCACGGAGTTCACGCGCTCGCCCCTCCGGAGGGCTGGGGAGCCACGTGGGCAGAGCCGTTTAAGGGCCCTCAGTGCAGCCAACTGGCTAGCTCCAGGAAGCCAATTAGTAGAACAATGTCGGGTAACAACTAACATCAGATGAAAGGGGCTATGGTATTTTATCTAGCAAATCCAATTTGTTAACACAACTTTGGAGTTTTCTAAGAATAGACTGGAAACTCATTAAACTTGATGTGTAACCTTTCTCCCTCTACAATAACCAGCAGAGCCCAGGTCCTTAGGAATGGCAGGAGCTAGGGAGAGTTTTTTTTTTTTTTTAAGATTTATTTATTTATTGAAAGGCAGAGTTAAAGAGAAGAAAAGGCAGAGAGAGAGAGAGAGAGAGAGAGAGAGAGAGAGAGAGAGAGAGAATATCTCCCATCTGCTGGTTCACCTCCCAAATGGCCACAACTGCTGGGGCAGGGTCAGGTCGAAGCCAGGAGCCTGGAACTCCATCCAGGACTCCCACATGAGTGGCAGGGGTCCAAGGACTTGGCCACCTTCTGTTGCTTTCCCAGGCTATCAGCCGCAGTTGATCATAGGTAGAGCAGCAGGGACTCGAACTGTTTCCCACAGGGGATGCCCGCATTGCAGGCAGCAGCTGAGCCTGATGCACCACAACCCCAGCCCCTCAGAGAGTTTTTAATGTAAATCTGTGATTTACACTTGTAACCCAGAGTCTGTCCACCTCCACTGACCCCTTCTCATCAGAATTCAATGTGCTCACGTTTTCACACTAAAACTGGAGCTTCCACTCATCTTTCTCCTCTCCTCCATACCCTCTACCTTCACAAAGTGCTGGAAACAACGATCCTATCCCCTTACTTCCTCTCAAGCTGCCCCGTAAGTCCCCTCACTCTGGCTTCTGCCCAACACTCCTAGGAAACAGCACTGGCTCAGAGTCACCCACCTTGTCATCAAACCAAATGAACACGTTCCTGAGACTGCAAACCACTTGCCTTCTTGGCTGTATTGGGAATAACTGCCACTCCATTGTTCTTTGTCCACATTTTTGTTTCCTCTTTAAAATTCCTGTGTACTTTTTTATTTCAAAGGCAGAGAGTCAAGAGAGATCTTCCATACACTTGCAACTCAATCAGAATCTCCCAGGTGTTTGGCAGGGACCCAACTACTTGGGCCATCACCAGCTGCTTCCCAGGGTGTGTGTTAGCAGGAAGCTGGCACTGGAAGCGGAGCTGGGACTCTGATACGGGACATGGGTATCCTAAGGGGTCTCCATCACAGGACCAAATGCCTGTCCTCTCATTTCCCTTCTACTCGTGGGCTGCTCTACCTCAGTTGGCTCTGCTGGGTTATCTACCTATCATCTATCTATCTATTTATTTATTTGAAGGTAGAGTGACAGAGAGACAGGAAAGGGGAGGAAGGGAGAATCTTCCATCTGCTGGTTCACTCCCCAAATGGCTGCAACAACCAGGCCTGAGCCAAGAGCCAGGAATTGCTTCTGGGTCTCCCGTATGAGTGGCAGGGGCACAAATACTCAGACCCTCATCTGCTGCCTTCCCAGGCACAGCAGCAGGGAGCTGGATCGGAAGCAGAACGGCCAGGACTCGAAGCAGCACTCCCACGTGGGATGCTGATGTTGCGAGCTGCAGTCTGGCCTGCTGAGCCACACCGCCGGCCCCTCTGGCTGCTTCTTAAATGTAGTGTTTCTCAGTGTCTCCCTGCGTCCTCTCACCATCCACCCTCTTCCCAGGTGATGGAAACATTTTCCAGGGATTAACACGGATGTACTGCTACCTCAAGGAGCCCAATACTTTACAAAGAAGCCCCTCCTAGGTTTCATGCACCTTGACTGGAGAAATTCTTTCTTAATTCGAAATTTCTCATTTTATGAATTTCATCCTAACTGTGCTCTTCACTGCACATTGGGAAGTGGCCAGCCAATCAATGAAAGCAATGTCCTCCTGGTTCCTCCTAAGACTGACTCTTCCTGGGTCTTCTTGCCATTCCTCACGTGACTTATCTCCAGATCACTGGTATTCCTACTTGCCCTCTGATCTCTCCGATGTATCACTCTCTTCCCAAAACAGGAGAGTCTGTGTTGAAGAGCGTTTCTGCTGTGTCCAGACACTGCAAGCCCATTGCCCACTTGATAGGGGCACTACACTTGTTCACACGAGCTTTCTAAATGGTCCCATCACATACTTGGCACATGTTTAGATTTTTTGACTAAAGCTTTGGATCTTTTTCAACCAAAATGATGCCAATCCAGAGTCTGCCAATCCTGAATTTGGGTTGCTGCACTCTTTCTCTCTCTTCTCGTTTCAGACCTCTTTTGAAACATGCTCAAATCCTTGTGAGTCTGCAGTTCAGTGTATCTGTGTTCCTATCAGTTCTGGGTCATCTGTGTAGCTGATAACTAAGGTTTTTATTTCTTCATCCAGATATCAATCGGCTGTATGACAGACTGAAAAACAGAGTGCTTTGAATTTGACACGACAAATTCCATAACCTGCCAGTTTAAAAAACTATTAATCCTGGGGCTGGTGCTGTGGTGTAGTGGGTAGGGCCACTGTCTGCAGTGCCGGCATCTTATATGGGCACCAGTTCGAGACCCAGCTACTCCACTTCCGATCCAGCTCTCTGCTATGGCCTGGGAAAGCAGTAGAAGATGGCCCAAGTCCTTGGGCCTCTGCACCCGCGTGGAAGACCTGGGAGAAGCTCCTGGCTCCTGGCTTCGGATAGGCACAGCTCCAGCCATTGCAGCCAGCTGGGGAGTGAACCAGTGGATGGAAGACTTCTGTCTCTCTCTGCCTCTCTTTCTATCGCTGTGTAACTGTGACTTTCAAATAAATAAATAAATCTTAAAAAAGAAAATCTATTAATCCCTTAGTTGAACTAGCATTCATACTTTGTGAAAGCTGAGACATGTCTGTGACATTCTCTTTATTCATGACCTAGTAATTCCCTTAAAACAGAAATGACATTAATGATAAATAATCTGTCCCTAGAAACACCATGCTGATTTGCAGTCATTATACACGATCACAATCCAGCTGCTAAGACTCATAGCTTGATGTTTTGTCAGGGATTGATGCTGTTCTAGTTTGCTCCTTGAGTATACTTTCTCTCTAAAACTCTTTAGATTGTTTGGAGGCAGTTTAAGCATCCTTTCTGAAATCTTATTTATATTAATAATTGACTTGTATGAATATTTTTCCTAACAGATAAAAAAACTACTATATTATACCAAAACACCACATCAGGGGTTCTAATACCATTTTCTAACTACTACAGTTTACTTCCAAATTACAGGCAAATGTATCATGCTTATGAAATACACTTATGGAGCCCGCAGCAGTGAAGGACAAATTCAGGTCAACCATGACCTTCAGGTTGGCCATGAAGGCATCTAAGCCACTTGTTTCCTTTGTCCTTGTTTTGGGACAATCTAATTCTGTGTTTTTAATTCCTTTTTTATTATAATGAAGGCATTATCATCCAATTAAGATTTGAATGGACCAAAAGAGCTGTAAATTAATGTGAAGCTTCTTTGGTCTCTGGTGCTGACTGATGATCACCTGGGCTTTGGTCTCGATGAAGTACAGAATTAATGAAATGCAGATAATATGAATCAAAGCTTATTTGATAATAAATGTGCATAGCTTGTTCAGATAGTTAGAACTGTCCATCTCATAATATCAAATATTCATTAACTCTCAGAATTATCTGGGGTTTTGGTAATTTCTAAGTATTTTTTAAATTTAAAATCTATTATGCAGCCACACCTGTATCTATGGTGTGTCGGATGCCTGCTGAGTGAACACGCAGGTGATTGACACCCACCCCCACTGGCCAGGAACCAGATATTCAGGGCATCACAGAAGCACTCTGTGTGCTATTTGCCAGTAAAACTCCCCTCTGTCCTAGAGTAGCCCCTTTCCTGGTATAGCAATCCTTTCTCTGCTTTCACTGTGGTCTTGTTACCTGTAGATGCATCCCTAAACCACATACAAATATTCCTTTGGCCCATTTCTCATTTAACCACGGAGCTCTACTGTATTATTCTGTGACTGGGTTTATGCATGTAACTGAAATAATTTTTTTGCTGCATAGTAACCCTCCATATGGATATACCATGTTGCTTGTTCCTGGTTTTGGTAATTATGAACAATGCTGCTTTGAACATTCTTTTACCTCTTTCTGTGTGCACAGGAGTCTGCATGTCTCTGAGGAATGTGAAACATTAAACTCTACCAGGCAAAGCAACAACATTTCTCATAGCAAGTCCCTGGATTCACATTCTTACACTGGGGCTGTGAGTTTCTGAATCTCCTTGTCATCAGGGTTGTTCCTAAACCTCCAGGTCCCAGCCAACATGTGCCCCTGCCAGTTTTTCTGATTGTCACCAGGCACCTGGGTGTGTGGCTGAACCCCATTCTGGTTTGGATTTGTACTCCCCCGATTAACAGCGAGACTGAGTGTCTTCGCACGCTCTTTCACTTGGACTTGTCTTCCTGTGAGATGCATGTTTAAGTGTTTGCCCATTCTTCCCCCATCAGGTTGTCCACATCTTCTCTTTTATGTTTAATATTCTGCAATATTCTAAATACCAATCTTTTAAATTACATATTAAATATGTATTATATAAAATATATTAAATACAGAAATACTGATACATTTTTAACATATAAAACAAACATGTTCTACTCAGTGGCTTGTGTTTGAACTTTTTATACTATCTGCTGATGAACAGAAATTTTAATTTTTAATGTAACCTAATTTACTGCTTTTCTTTTATGCTTAGTATTTTAAATTCTATTTAAAATATCTAGCCCCGATATTATTAAGATATTCTCTTCATGACCTTCTGAAAGCTTAGTATTTACCCTTTCTTATTAGCTCTTCATCTTGGTTAATTCAGCTGTTACAATAAAATACCTTAAATGGGGTAATTAGAAACAATCAAAATTCATTGCTCACAGTTTAAGATCAAGGTCAACAGATTCAGTGTCTGGTGAGGGCCTGCTCCCCGTGGGAAGTGCCTCTGTGTCCTTATGTGTTGAAGGGGGCAAGGGAGCTCACTGGAGCCTCTTTCATAAGGGACTAATCTAATCTCACTTGTGAGCTTGGAGTCCTCAGGATGCATCACCTCCCAGTGGCTCTCTAATCAACAGTATCACACAGGATACTGGTTTCCAGCATAAAAGAATCTTAGGGGACATTGACACAAAGACCAAGCAGTGTTTAACCCACTTGAAACTGATTTTTCATACAGTGTTAGAAAGGCCTATATTCACAATTTTTCCAGTGTGGACATTTAATTGTCCCATTATTATTTGTTGAAAACACTGCCATGTGCCTACAGCCACTTCTGTCATAAGTCAACTCCATGTGCAGGAGATCTGTATCTAGGCTTGCTTTCTGTTTCATTGGTATATTTTTGAAAACTGGTATATTTGTGAAAAGCTACACTCTCTTGAAAATTGAAATACTATAATATACAACATGATATCTGATAAAATAAGTCTTCCTATATTTTTTTCTTCAAAAAGCAGCTTATCAAGTACAACAAAATAAAACCTACTGGGATTTTGATTGGGACTGCACTGAAAGGGAGAAATTGACATTAGAAAGAAAGAACATGGTATTTCTAATCCATGAACATGGTATAGCTGCTCTTAGTCTTTAATATCTCAGTAAGTTTTAATTTTTACCTTTAGAAGCCTTGGACATCTTTGTATAGACTTATTTCTGAGTAATTGATACTTCTTAAACTGTACATGCTTGATATCTTAAATTCTATTTTGCTTCTTTTTGGAATACAGAAATGCAATGATTTTTGCATACTGATTATTTTTGTTATCACTAAGAGCTTAGCTATAGATTCTTTTTTTTTTATGTACACATAATAGCATTTGTGGAAAAAGACAAGATTTTTCCCCTTCCAATTACTCTGTCTTCTTCTTCTTTTGAAAATTTATTTATTTGAAAGAGTTACACAGAGAAAGAAGGAGAGGCAGAGAGAGAGAGAGGTCTTCCATCCCCTGGTTCACTCCCCAGTTGACCGCAACGGCCGGAGCTGAGCTGATCCAAAGCCAGGAGCTTCTTCCAGGTCTCCCACATGCATGCAGGGGTCCAAAGACTTGGGCCATCTTCTACTGCTTTCCAGGCCATAGCAGAGAGCTGGATCAGAAGTGGAGCATCCAGGACTTGAACCGGCACCCACATGGGATGCGGGCATTGCAGGCAGTGGCTTTATCCACTATGCCATAGTGCCGGTCCCTACTCTGTCTTCTTTACTTCACTGGCTAGTATCACCAGTACAATACTGACTAGAAGTACAGATTTGCTCCCAATCTCAATGGGAGATCTCTTCTTAAGCATTATTTATTTATTTATTTAAATAATCAGATAAAACAGAACAGGTTTATTATTTACAACATGTTGTTTTGAAATATGCATACATGTAGAATGACTAAATCAAGCTAATTAACAGATGCATCAGAGGGAGAGCTCCTAATATTTTGCCACTTAGTGCGAGATTTGTTGAAGGTTTTGCTTTACTGAATTGAGGAAGTTTCTTTCTAACTTCAAAGGAGATAGACATTGTATTTCTTTTTTTTTTAAATTTTTTAACTTATTTGACAGAATAGAGTTAGACAGTGAGAGAGAGAGAGACAGAGAGAAAGGTCTTCCCTCCGTTGGTTCACCCCCCAAATGGCCACCACAGCCGGAGCTACACCGATCTGCAGCCAGGAGCCGGGTACTTCTTCCTGGTCTTTGATGCGGGTACAGGCGCCCAAGCACTTGGGCCATCCTCCATTGCCTTCCCGGGCCACAGCAGAGAGTTGGACTGGAAGAGGAGCAACCGGGACTAGAACCCGGTGCCCATATGGGATGCCGGTGCCACAGACGGAGGATTAAAAAAGTGAGCCACAGCACCGGCCCCTAGACATTGGATTTCATCTAATGTCTTTTCTGCACCAACCAAGATGATCATTTAATTTTATCTCCTTATTATATTAATGTGATTTTCAAAAAAGTATCTCTTTTATTACTCTGTAAAAGCTGTTTTTTTTTTTTCTAACGTTCGAGACTTACACAGGTCCTAGCAGCAGAAGCAGAATGAGGGCGGCTGAGAACTGAAAGAGACTCAGAATATGGGAACAGGGTGTGCAGACTCTGCTCCAGCTGAGTGCTGACGGGAGGTCTGAGGTTGGGGTGCGACCCAAATGGTCTGAACACAGGCTCTCATGTGTTGATCAAGGGCGTGAGAGTGGGGTCCAAGAAAAAGTGCTATATGATTCCCAGGGACAGATACCTTGGGAGCAAAGGGTCTCAGAAGGATCAGCACATCAGCCTGGAAGTGAGGATTGGGCCAGGGGGAAGAGAATTGACAGGGAAAGGCTGAGACACAGACCAAAAACAGGACAGCAGCAAGAGCTGTCCCAGACCAGCACTCTAAAACCACAGTTACATGAGTGATTAGAATGGGTCACAACAACAGAGGCAGGTAAAAAGGGAGAATGACCCTGAGAGATGTGCTCACACGAGGACTGACTGCCTCGTGTGGGCTGCAACCAGCGCTGACCTTGCAAAGAGGAATCAAGTGGCCCTGGGAGGCAGACTGTGAAGGCAGCAGGGGGCTTGGGATGGAGTGGGCTGCCTGAAGCTTTAAATCCCCAGAAGCGGGCCTGGCCATCGTCTGAAGCTAGACCTGAGAAGACAAAGAGAGAAATGGGCTGAGCTGGATGCCATCAACATGACCCAACTTTCCCCAGAGCAAGCTGCACTCATTCAAAGCCCAGTGTCAGGGTTTGGTGCAATGGTTAAGAACCTGCTTAGGGACACCATATCCCATATACCATGCCTGGGTTTCAGTCTCGGCGTCATTCCCATGTTCAGCTCCCCACTAATGTACATACAGCTTGGGAAGCAGTGGGTGATGGCTCAGGTAGTAGGGTCCCTACCACCCGACATGGGAGACCTAGATTGAGTTCCTGACTTCGGTCTCGTCCAGCCCCAGCTATTGCAGGCATCTGGGGAAGAGAACTGGCAGATGAGATCTCTCTTTCAAATAAATAAAATTAAAATAAAAAGCAACACCCCCCCCCCCCCCCCGCCAGACACCCACAATGCTTGTCCTCTCCCTCCCTTTACAGACCACAGTTTTCAGGGGCAGCTGACACTCACTCTCCTTTGCTCAAGCTTGATTCTCCTCCCTCAGCAACCTTCCCATACCTCACCAGTGAGGCTGCGCAGCCCTGGCTTAAAGGGCTCTTGCGATTGCAAGTGAAGCTGAGTGAGCCTCTGTCACACCCCTCTCCACCAGGGTGCCTCTCCTTTGGCTCCTCCCACTGCCATGCAGAGCAGTGCCTGGAAGAGTTTGTAGAGGGAGGACAGAAAAGGATCCTAAGTGTCACCTGCCATACTTCGTCATAAAACAGAGAGAAGCGGAGACAGAGAATTTGAAATACGGTCTCTATAATGAGCTCAGTGGCTCTTTGACCCTCGTTTGGCATAGGCCTTGTGCCTCTTCTGAAGAGGCCTGCTGTATCACACAATCCCAGACAAACCACAGGCACTCAGTAAATGCGGAGTATCCAGAACTGGGCTCCCAGAGTCAACTCTGCCTTGTAAAACTTGTGTGTGGCTGTGTAGCCTTCTCCTTCAGAACCAAAACAGCTAAACACAAGGTTTCTGTAAAAATTAAATGAGGTAGGGAGCCATCACTGTGGTGCAGTGGGTTAAAGCTCGGCCTGTTTTGCGGCTCTGCCCAGGTGTTTTAAATAGCCCTGCGCTTGACCCACCCCCTTATATATGTGTGTGTGTATACAATACATATACATCTATAGATTCACCCCCTTCTTATATATGTGTGTGTATATAATACATATACATATATACACGGCATAAATGTATGTAGCACATATGCATTACATATGATATATATGTGATACACATAATATGTATAATGTATGTAACTTATATAAATAACATATGTATTAAACTATATTATATTAAACTCTATAGTAGGTATAGGAACTCTGGGATGTCAGATTACTTGTTAAGGCACATGTTCGGAGATATAACTGAGCCCAAGCTTAGCCCTATTTACCTTTTGTCTCTCAGGTTATGAGATGATTTAACTATGGCCAGCTCTACATCTGCTCCCTTGGAGACGCCCGTAGGATCTATACTTAAAAATTGGGAGGCCCTTAAGCTAGGTGATATTACTAAGGAAAGGATGGTCACTCTTTGCAATACTGTATGGCCTACCTATGGGTTGGGAAATGGTGCAACAAGGCTGATAAATGGGTCTCTTAGTGTTAATGACATTTCAAAACTTGATTTGTAATGCAGAACAGAAGTCGCTTAGTCACACGTATCCGTGTCAAATGCTTGAGGATAATTAAGCTCCTGAGGAGCTATGTCTGTTCTTATCTTCTCGGGTCCTACAAAGAAAACTATAAAGCTGGATAGCCCTGCATGCTTTCCTACAGACTTACTTCTAAGGGTACAGTTTAAAAGCTCACAAATCCCCTTCGGCTGCATGGTGAAAGTAACATCTTAAATTTTAAAGTGAACATATATAGATAGGATTAAGTTTTAAAGTGATCATATAGCTGGGATTGATTGTTAAACTGATCATGTCAATAGGATTAAGTGTTTACTGCTAATAATAAATATGATTGAGTATCTGATAATGATAATAACTAGAATTAAAGAGGAGTAAATCCTCCAACATGGGGTGCAGTCCATACAGCAGACTCATAGAATGGCAACTGCTGTAAGTAGCACACAGTGACCTCAGAGTCAGCCCTAAAAGGCATTCTGGTCTGTCTGAAAAGCCCACGAGAGCATTTCAGGCATGGAAAGCCAGGACACTCGTGCAAAAAGTGTCCCTACATGGAGGACCTCCCTGGGTGAGACCCCAGTGGAAAGACGTGGTTCATTAAGGAAGGATGTACTTTTCTCTGAAGGAAGGCGAGAACTTCCACTTTGGTTATGGCTTTGTCTAAATACTGATGAAGTTTGTGGATTCAAAAGGCTTCCATAGCCTTGGCAGCCCATGTCAAGAGCCTTGGATGATCACTGATGTCATACCTAAAAGTGTTTATTACTAAATTAACAACAAGAGTCACTGTGTACTAACTTCTCATGAAGGACCTGTGTCCTTAAAGAGCTACATGTTAGCATTAATGGTAAAACTTATTCCCAAAGATTTACCTTGTTCTAGTGTGTTATATTCTTATGTGTCACAAGCTTTAGTTATGTTTAGTGTCAAACTCCATTGCCTGTATTCTTAGGTATTTCTTTAAAGTTTATTAAGTGTCTCAAATGTAAACTCGTAAATCCATGTTTCCTTATGATATTCCTATCTTGTATGTTTTGATGTAAGATCAAATACAGAGTACAGAATGGTTAAAGGTCTCAGGACTACTAATGAGACAGTTTCAATGCATCTTACTGTGTGCTAAACCTTTACCTAAGAGAGAATTTCTTCTGCATCCCACTAAACTCAGAATCTGGGATAGTGAGGATACAAAACTTCCCAAACAAAGCCCAAGTTTCTCAACTAGAGGTAGATTACCTGGGATATGTTCTAACTCTACGAAAGTTTACTCTCTCAGTCAAGAGAAGGGAAGCTATTGTATACATATGGTCTTCAAAGAGTTAAAAGGCAACTAAGGAGATTTCTGGGAACAGCAAGATTCTGTGGAATACGGATTCCAAGATTTGGATTCCAAGCCTTTGTAAGGGCTTTAAAAAGCCCCTGACACAGACACTGTGCTGGCCAGGGGAGCTACAAAAGGTGTTCCAAGGAAGGAAGGAGTTTTTAGCAGAAGCTCCAATATTGGGAATTCCTGAGTCGGCCGATCACAGAAAGATCCTCTTCAGATCAGCTGCAGCGTGAACAGAAGGGACCTTACCAGGTGCCACTGTGCACAGTTACCTCAGTGGAAGCAGGATCAAACTTCTAGCTCTCAAGTCTTCACAGGTGCACTCAAGAAGACACACCTGGCCATTCCTGTAAGCCAATCAGAGATCTTAACAAAAGATAAGTAAAGCCTCGCTTTCCTCACATCGAGACCTCTGCACCTTAGGGCAGACATGCTGTACCTGCCTCTCTTCTTCTGATTTCCTCTGGGAACTGTTACTGCCAATAACACTCCTAATATGTTCTTCTATTATAATCCTCTATGCTCAAGCTAAATGGGTTTATGATGCCATCACCTACACAATCTGGGAGTCTGTAAGTATGTTCTTTCCATCTTAAGGGGCACTCCACTTATGATTGGTCTTGTTCCAGTTTTGCTTATGCTAATTAACTAACTTATATGTTTCAGAACTCGACTTCTGGGAATAACCAAGCAGGGGACACAGACGTTGGCAGTGACTGAGACTGCTCTAGCTCACCAAGTGAATTTGTTAAATGAGATAGAGACTTCCGGACCCAGGACAGGCAGGGCTTGCACTACACCCCTCATAAGCAGGAAGCAGCTATAGCAGATGTGATGCTTCTACGTCCCTCAACATCCTTAGGATTAAAGGAATGGAGTCTCTGAGGGGGGAATGATGTAGGCAGGCATACAGGATAAAACTGATTATGTTTGTGAGCTGGAAGACCACACCTTGACCAGGCCCCCGTGTGATCTCATCCTCCAACCTGGCCACACCTGTGTGCCCACCGGCCCACCGGCCGATCAGGCTACATAACCACTCCCCTTTGGAAGTGGATTAAAGGCCTGAAACACTGTAGGCCCAGCCTTTTTTTTTTTTTTTTCTTTTCCCTTTTTCACCATTGTGGACCCTTGCTGCCCTGTGCCTCTGGGGCGCATGGCCTTCGGGCCACCCACTCCACGTTTTCCAGCCTGCATGCTCCTCCATGTGGCTGGCTCCTGATGCTTGGTAAGAATCCAGATTTCCCTCTCTCTTTCAGACAGAGTCCTCACTCTCCTATGCATTTCTCTCACTGAATAAAAAGCTTAAAACTTCAAAACAAAGAAAACCTCAGGCTGCAGGGCGGCATCCCATATGGGCACTGGTTCCAGTCCCAGTTGTTCCATTTCTGATCCAGCTCCCTGCTAATGCACCTGGAAAATCAGCAGAGGACAGCCCAAGTGCTTGGGGCCCTGCACCCATGTGGGAGACCTGGAAGGAGGTCCTGCCTCCTGGCTTTGGCCTGGGCCAGCCCCAGTCATTGCAGCCATTCGAGGGGTGAACCATAGGATAAATCTCTCTCTCTCTCTCTCTCTCTCTCTCTCTCTCTCTCTGTAACTCTGCCTTTCAAATAAATAAAATAAACCTTTAAGAAAATTAGGCGAGATGACACAAGTGAAATGCTTCACACAGTCCCCGCAGGGTCACAGTAACTGCACCTTTCCTTTCTTACAGGAAAATCTCGACAACAGACCAAGCAACAACAGCGGCTGTGCGGTGCAGGCAAGACAGATTGGAGGGAGGCATCTGACTGCGGGAAGAATAACACACACCCAGCTGTAAAACTAGAAGAGTACTTCAAAATGTTCATGGAAATATGGGGCTGAAAGATAAGTCTGTTTTGGTGTGAAAAATGTTGGAATCATGCATATGAGGAGTCTTCAGAAGCCCCTGAAAGGGGCTGGGTGTGGCACAGTGGGCAAAGCTGCCGCCTGCAATGCCACCATCCCACATGAGCGCCAGCTCATGCCACTTCTAACTCAGCTCCCTGCTAATGGCCTGAGAAAAGAGCAGAAGATGGCCCAAGTGCCTTGGGCCCCTGCCACCCACGTGTGAGACCCAGATGAAGCTCTTGGCTCCTAGCTTTGGCCTGGCTCAGCACTGGGCATTGCAGCCATCTGGGGGAGTGAACCAGCAGATAGAAGATCGCCCGCTCTCTCTCTCTCTTTCTCCTTCTTTTTCTGTAACTCTTTCAAAATAAATAAATACATCTTAAAAATTTTTAAAGAAAACTCAAAAAGTTCAAGGAAAATGTGTATTAGGAAAATACATGCATGGATTTCAAAGGAAGTTTTGTGCCAAAACAAGTTTATCTTTTAATTCCATATTCATGAACATTTTTAAGTACCCTTGTGTCATAATTAAAAGTAGCTGTAGTGGTAAAATATTTTCCTAAGAGAAATTAATATTTATTGGCATATTATTCAGCTACTTATATGAGAGCATTAGTACTTGTAACATTCTCACAGAACATGAATTAAGGGGTCAAGTTGCATGAAGAGTTGCAGATGGCTGGCTTGCCCCTTGGGAGTTCCGACTCTGCTAGACAGTTAGTAAGCCTGGATGATCACTGGAAAGCCCAGGAAGTGGGGCAGCTGAGGTGGTCTTGGCAGATGGAGGAAGCGCTGGGCTGTGGCCCAAGATGCCCTGCTCTTGAGACTTGGCCCGCCCACAACCAGCACCCCGAGTTCAGTGAACTGCGTGGGTCTCCACGGCATGGTGGTGATCACTTCATTTGTAAATATTCACCCACCTCCATAAACCTTGAACCGAGAACATGTGTTTTGCACACCAGTGAAATCTAGGCCCAGTGCTCAGCATAGTGCCTGGCTCCCAGTGGACTTGATAAACACCTACTGAATACATTCTCACACTAGGTAGGGTGCCCCAGACGAGTTTCTGTTTCCTCTGGGCTCCTCAGTTCCTTCTTCCCTGAAACCAGGGGGTTAGGTTCAAGTTCCTCGGAGCTCTCCTTAACAGTGGCATTCTTCCTTCCCAGGGCTTTGCATTCCTGCAGCCATCCAGCCTTGTCACCCTTGCAAGTCTCTGAGCTGGGATTCCCACTTCTGGCCTGGTCCCTGCTGCACTGCTATCAGCATACCATCCTGCTCATCTGATCATGGCAGTCCCGTGCCCAAACCTGCCCGACACCAGCTGCTGCAGGCCAAAGGCCAGACTTCGGGGCCCTTCATGTCTGGTCCTGGAGTCCTTTCACCTGTCCAGCGTCTCCCTCACAAAGCACCCCTCACCCTTAAGCCTTCTGGAACTACTTAAGAGTTTTCCAATGTTCCTGTTGACCTCCATTATTCGATGAAATGGGCTGCCAAGAAAACAATGAATTCTAAAAGACCCATTCAGTATCTACACAAATATCTGTTGGCATTGCAAGTGTGTATAAGTCAGTGCAGGCTCCTAAACAGAACACTATCGACTGGGTGGCTTAAATAGTAGAAGTTTATTATTCTGGAGGCTGGGAAAGCTAAAGATCAAGGCCTCAGCAGGTTTGGTGTCTACTGTTTTCAGACTTGCTAGCACTCTTCTTCCTGCTGTGTCATCACATGGTGCGCCAGCACGAGAGCAAGAACTCCGCCTCTTTATGATCACCTCGTGAGAACTCCGCCTTCCTGAACTCATCTAATCCAATTAGCTCCCCAAGGTCCCAACTCCAAATATAGTCCCATCGCGGGTAGGCTTCAACACACAGATTTGAGGAGGGGGAGGACACAATTTATTTCATAGCCCTGGGCAAAGGGGATGATGCTGGCAGTGAATTTTTGGCCATTTATCTATCGCTGTCCCCCAGTGCCACACCTCCAAATGGCAGGAAATGTCATGTTCAAAGTGAGGAAACCTGCATGTAAGCATCTAGGGATATGGTGTTTGGGCAAGAGGCGGCAGATGGAAAGTTGAGGAGTGTTGGGAAATTAGGAAGGAGATTCAAGCAAAAGCCAGTTAGCTCACACACAGGTAAAAAGACATGACTCAGCCGGCATCGCGGCTCACTAGGCTAATCCTCCGCCTTGCGGCGCCGTCATACCGGGTTCTAGGCCCGGTCGGGGCGCCGGATTCTGTCCCGGTTGCCCTTCTTCCAGGCCAGCTCTCTGCTGTGGCCAGGGAGTGCAGTGGAGGATGGCCCAGGTGCTTGGGCCCTGCACCCCATGGGAGACCAGGATAAGTACCTGGCTCCTGCCATTGAATCAGCGCGGTGCGGCGGCTGCAGCGCGCTGGCCGCGGCGGCCATTGGAGGGTGAACCAACGGCATAGGAAGACCTTTCTCTCTGTCTCTCTCTCTCACTGTCCACTCTGCCTGTCAAAAATAAATAAATAAATAAATAAAAAGACATGACTCACCTTGTGAATGGCCGGGATCACAAGAAAACCAGTTCATGGACACCCTCTCCCAGGTTGGCTGTTAGCTTTCAGAGCTATAGGAATGTTCACCTAATGATCCCACTTTAGAATTTATCCTAAGAAAACAGCGCAAAAGATCAGAAGAGGTATGTGCACAATGATATTCATTATATTATTTATAAAAAAACTGGAAGTAATTTATAGAGAAATACTTAGTTACTGGCTGAAGATGTGCTGAATGAACTAACAAATGCTTGTTGAGTATAAAGCAGCAATTAAAACGGTGAAGGGCAGGTTAACAGAGTGGAAAAATATTTGAAATAAGTAAAATAAATAAAATCTAACACTTTATATATATAAATGCAGTGACAAAAGATACATAGCACCAGAAGTCAACAGGGATTAAACCAACAACAGACTATCTGTGAGGGGTGTGCAATTATGTGTCTCCAAAATGTGTTTAAAAAGTCAACCAGCCCTGCACAGCCTCACACAATAGCCTTTGCTTGTAGCCAGCCTGAATGAACCTTGGCTTTCAGTGACACAACTGAACTGATGAAATATTTGGGGTCAACACAGTGGAAGAAGTATGTGTTCTGTAACAAAGGCCAACACCATGGGCACAGGGAAAAGACAGAGAATCTCTCTCTCTCTCTTTTTTTTTTTTTTTTTTTTTTTGAAAGCTTGGGTGAGATCTACGGACAGAGGAGGCTTCCTTTTCCGTTGGTTCACCGCCCAAATGGCCACCATGGCCGGCATGCTGCACCGATCCAAAGCCAGGAGCCAGGCACCTCCTCCAGGTCTCCCGTGCAGGTGCAGGACCCAAGCACTTGGGCCATCCTCCACTGCCTTCCTGGGCCACAGCAGAGAGCTGGACTGGAAGAGGAGCAACCGGGACAGAATCCGGTGCCCCAACCAGGACTAGAACTCGGGGTGCCGGCGCTGCAGGCGGAGGATTAGCCAAGTGAGCTGCGGTGCTGGCCAAGAGAGAATCTCAACAGTTAAATGAACCACACTCTCGAGCCAAAGCATCCATTATCTCCCACATGCAGGATGAAAGAGCCCTTGTGTATAAATAGGTCAGAGGGAACCTAAACAGTAAGATGGTGGCTGAGCACAACTGTGCTTATTCCCATTAGAGCAAACGTGAGACCGAAAGAGGAGCAGGTATCTGGCAACAGTGATGACACTGCTGGGTTCTGCCCCTGTGTATCTCATCTTGAAGCAAGTTTCCCCAAGGTTGACTGTCCACTTTCAGAGCTGGATGAGGGGACAAAGGTTAAGAGAGGTAGATGATGAGGTCAAAGCCATCTGGTCAGCATGGAGTACAAAAATGCAAACATGGACACAAGTCACATGACCAGATTCAACACCACAGCCACGACTTTCAAGCTGCATGTCAATCATGCATTCCCCCCGCCCCCGACAGCTATTATGAGGGTTATTATGAGGGCGTGTGTCATGAGCAGTCCCTCTGTCTCACCCAGCACCAATTTTCTCACCCCTAAAATAGAAACAGAGGCTGCTTTGTGGCTACATCTGTGGTTTCTGCTGCCTAGTGTCCCTGCATCCCATTCCCTTCTTCATCACCCACACCCTGGGGAGCCAGCTGCTTGTCAGCCCTCGGCCCATGGACTCCGTGTAGGACCAAGCCAGTGAGCACATCAGATTCTCCCAGACACAAACATGAAGGCTGGGTTGCTCGTCAGGGAGGGTGCGTGGCTGCTCCAAGTGCTGGCGAGTACCGGGGTGAGATTTGGCAAGGAGGACGTCTTCTTCTGTGCTCAGAAGCTCCATGGAGGGAAAGGTGTGAACTGCCGCTGCCTCCACTTTGGCCAACACATCCCTCCTGGGACCACAGCTTGTGTAGGGAAAGTAGAGATAAGAAGTGGAAAGCAGAGAGCTCAGGTCTTGCAGACTGAAAGTTTGAGAGTCAAGTGACACCTGAAGCTAGCCCACTTCTTGGTGTGAGCAGATAACTGTATTTTGTGTGTGTGCACGCACCTGCGCACGTGTGTATGCGTGTGTGTTAAGCTAATTTGAATTCCTCCAACAGAACCACCTCCTCTATGGAGACAGAAAGTACTGGGTACAGGCACCCTGTGTCACAGCTGGCACATGGTGGCTGTTTAACAATGTCGGCTTCACTCTTCTCTTTTGTCCTCACTGGGATTCCATCCCTCCTTTCTTCTGTTCACCTATCTCCTCCTTCATGTAGGCCCCTGGTCCTCTGTCCCTTGGAGCATGGGGTAAGGAGCTCTGTCCTCCCCTGTGAAACTCTGACAACCCTGAGCTTTTTCCCAGACCCCATCATCCCAGGGGTGCCTGTCTGCAATCTGACCATATTCACATGACTCCCTCACGTTTGCACAGTAGCCAGCCGAGGGCTCTCACATCCAGAATCTCAGTTGGTTTAACTTAGCTATGTGCAGTGACAGGGCAAGGTGCTCTTATGATGGTACCCATTTCCCAAGTGAGGAGTCAGAAATTCAAGAAGGTGGAGGAACCTGAGGCAGTCACCCGGGACACCTGGGATTTGGACACAAACACAGGTAGGGCGCAGGGCCTGCTCTGCCTCCTCCTCTTGAGTAAAAGGCTCATGTGTAATGAACCAGACGGGGTTCCACCCAGGACCCTTCTTCAGGGCCTGCCCACTACTCACCCTCCCCCAACACACACACACTAGGCCCATTCTCACAGCTGCCAGGAGTGGAGACCGCCCACGCTGAGGTTATATTCCTTCCTTGGGGGCAGCCCCTGGACAATGACTTCCCTCTCTGCTTCAATTAGGGACAAGTAAGGGTCAACACCACTCCGGAGCTCCCTGTGGGAGCCTGAAAAGCTGCCAAGTTTGACAAGAGGTCCAAAGTGGGTGGTGGCTCTGCAGCAGGCCCTGCTACAGTGCAGGAGGCTCGGCCCCTCAGGTCATAGGTCCAGAGAACTGAGAGTACAGGTACTTACACCTCTATGGCAAACAGGGATGCTGGGTGTGTGGAGGCCTTGGGCTGGCTGAGGTCTCAGTACCACCACATCACAGGGCAGCTGCTCCCTCCATCCATTCCCACTAGCCTGCCTTCTGCAAAGGTACCGCTCCTGAACGCTCACCTAATAACTGCCTGCATTTGACTCTCTGGCTGCGAGTCTGGCTGCAGGGATCCTTGGCTAAGGCAGATGCTACAAGTGGTCCTGGAAAGCAGACCGCATAATGGGACTTTAGGGATCGGCCCCTCACTGTCCTTGGTGGTGGGTGGAGTACTGGTGGTCCCTGCCAGGCAGTTGCAAGTGTAGAAACTGTCACTCACAGTGAATGGAAGGGGACACATTCTTGGTATGAGGAGTCTTCAAAACATTTATGGATGGCCAGCGCCGTGGCTCACTTGGTTAATCCTCTACCTGCGGCACTGGCATCCCAGATGGGTACTAGGGTCTAGTCCCGGTTGTTCTTCTTCCAGTCCAGCTCTCTGCTGTGGTCCGGGAAGGCAGTGGAGGATGGCCCAAGTGCTTGGGCCTCTGCACCCGTGTGGGAGACCAGGAGAAAGTACCTGGCTCCTGGCTTCGGGTCAGCATAGCTCCGGCCGTGGTGGCCATCTGGGGAGTGAACCAACGAAGGAAGACCTTTCTCTCTGTCTCTCTCTCTCATTGTTTAACTATGTCAAATAAAAAAAACATTTATGGAAAATGCATTTTGAAAGAGTTAGGCATGACTTTGAAAATAATTTGCACAAAAATTAACTTATCTTTTAATTCTGTTTGCCCACAAACTATGTGAAATTGTCTTGTATGTCTGGCACAAGAGCAGCATGTTGAAAAGATATCGCAGGGTTGGTGGCCATTGCAGAGTTCCAGACTGGACGGGAAGGACACAGGCAAGAGCAGGACTTCTGCTTTGCCAGGTGCATTGTAGTAGAATGCCACGTGGCTGCCACGGCCAGGGGCAGTGCCTCTTCTTCATGACCATGGCTTCCCTTCTGACATGGGCAGTGCGACCACGGTCCTGGAGCTGGCAGGCCCTTGGCAGTTCAGGTTGGCACTACGGCTTTGGTCATTCTTCCCAGAAGCTCAACCTGCACCTCTTTGCTCAGCCCCCATGATTCTGCAATTGAAAACTGGAGGAAGCCAAATACGTCTGATTTAAAAGCGTACATCTGTGCTCAACACCAAGGAAAACTGAACTAAGCTGAACTAGATCAAAGATGCACTGAGGAAAGCAGCAGGTGTGTTTTGCCATTGAAGGAGAAATGAACCAAGTTTTGGGCCCAAGGAGCTTGTCAGTAAACTTGCCATGAGAAAGTCCATGGCCCACCCAGCAGAAAGTCGAGGGAGAGGGATCAGCTCTTACTGGATGGCCTGGGGCTAGGAATGCAAACCTGAAATTCTTTCCTATGAAGCACGAACCTGGATCTGACTGCCTAGGAAGAATGCAGGAAGAGAGAAGCGCTGGGAAGGCGGCCATAGGTAAAGAAAAAGATGCAGCGCATTCATCTGGAATGAAATATCTGAACTCAAATCCCTGCTTTACCTCATCCTAGCGAGGTGATGTCACAAAAGCTACTTAACCTCTCGGTGCTAGATTTAGGAATGAGCACTGCATCTTGTTTTCCTGGCTCTGACCTTTGGTTCTGCTTCGGGGAGGAGGGGAAGTATGTTTTATCATGCCCAGGCTTGTCGCCCCATGTTTGCAGAGTGGAGTTTCACAGCTTTGGCTGTTGTGTGCTCACGTAACCATGCTCAGGGCAGAAGACAGAGTGTACAAGTGGCTTCTCCTCGCACCAGGAGGTGACTTGCCTCGGGTAACTTTGCAGGGAATGTGTTCTGTGTCTCACTGGCCAGGACTGCTGCATGGCCACCCTTCAGTGCACTGGAGGCTGGGAGGGCACATATTCTGATAAAGGGGAAGGAAGGAGCCTCAAATGATGGATGCTGGTCAGGACCCATCTCCTGACACTGGCACATCCTTGCCCCCAGCCGAACAGTGGGCACAGGAAAGCACTGGCTGAGGGGAGAGAGTAGACCCTGCACACCAAAACTCCTGAAAGACATCCTTTAGGAACAGAGTTTGAACGCTAGAATCTGCACCTTCTGTGGGGCCTGTCAGCAGAGGAGGCAGCTCGTCCCATGCTTGGTGTTCACGAAGCTTAGGAAAGCTTCCAGAGCGTCTGGCTTGATCCTCACCACATATCTGCACCTCCATTTTACAGGCCAAGCAGGTGGGGTTCAGAAGTGACTACGTGGGAGAAGAGCCAAGCTGGCCTCCAGGCCAATGTCCTTTCTATTGTGGCAGGTAGGCCCTGGGGTTTTTACCATCACATTTCATGCACATCACCTTGCTCTAAAGCCCAGGTCACCTTTCCTTCCACCACTGAACAGACTGGAACCCTAAGATTCCTAACATCTAGAGCGCCAACTTTCTAAACAAAAGCTAGCAAACTGCTAATTTGACCTTGCCATCTCACAGTAAACCAAAACTCAGTGGTGTGTGTGGGTGGGCGAATGGTGGTTCTATGAGAGCAGACAAGAATGCAGGCATTCATGGGGGAGGAGGGAATCAAGACAGAGCTTGGGAGAAAAATCTACAACCAAATTTATACCCAGAATGGAATTTTCAAATGGCTTCCATGGATCATAAACAAGGTAAAGTGCTACAAGAAAACTGCATAGGGAAGAGTGCTGAGTTAGACCACTGATGTGGTAAACACGAAGCAAGTTTATCAGACAGAGCCAGATTACAGGGATTAGAGTGAGCAAGGACGGCATTTATCTCTTTTTCTGTCTGTTCTCTGTTGGAGAGTCACTCAGGAATCACCCAAAAGACAAGATAAAATGCTCGTTAATTTCCAAGTAATGGAGTTAAGTTGCGGGGGGGGGGGGTGGCAGATTTCTTGGGGTCCACAGTGTACAAGGCAATACTAAAGCTGTGAGGAATACAAAGGGAACAATTTGCTCATTCATTTATTCATTCATTCATCAACGTTTATTGAGATGTTTTATACTGCAACAGTGGTTGGGTTCTAGCAATACTACTCAAGGAGTAGTCTCTAATAGGTGAGGAGGGAGGGGACAGAATTGAACTAAGAACATAAAGGACTCTGAAATAAGCAGGGGGGGGCAGTGCTGTGGCACAGCAGGTTAGGCCACCATCTGCAGTGCTGGCATCCCATATGAGTGCCAGTTCAAGTCCCAGCTGCTCCACTTCTGATTCAGCTCCCTGCTAATGTGCCTGGGAGGGAAGCAGAGGATGGCCCAAGTCTTTGGGTCTCTGTATCCCTACAGGATACCCGGATGAAGCCTCTGGATCCTGGCTTTGGTCTGGCCCAGTCCTGGCCACTGGGCTATTTGGGGAGTGAACAAACAGATGGAATATTGATCTCTCTCTCTCTCTCTCTCTCTCTCTCTCTCTCTGTAACTCTTTCAAGTGAATATATAAATCTTAAAAAAAAAAAAAAAAGAAGCAAGCATCTGATAAAGGCTTCAAGCTGGTACTAACTGCTATGGATATTCAGAGGCAAGATTCTAGCCAGATTTGCAGACCAGAGGCTTGCCATGTAAAGTGGAAGCTTAGCCATGAAAAATGATTAAATTTTGACAATAAAGAGGTAGACTATATGAATGGTGATGGCAGCAAAAGTTAGCAGCATAAACCACTCTGTAATGGATACAGAACCCTGTGTGTACAGAAATACCTGCTGACTGGTGCTTCTCAACCTCCAGTCATTCTGCTTTATTCCTCCAGTTAACCAAGTACCTAACTACACGTAGCTACATCACTAACTTTCTTTAGGGGCTGGCATTGTGGCATAACAGGTTACGCTACCACCTGTGATGCTGGCATCCCACATGGGCACTGGTTGGAGGACTAGCTGTTCCATTTCCGATACAGCTCCCTGCTAATGCGCCTGGGAAAGCACTGGAGGATTGCCCAAGTCCTTGTACCCATGCACACATGGGAAACCTGGCTGAAGTTCCTGGCTCCTAGTTTCAGCCTGGCCTAGCCTTGGCCATTGGTCATCTGGGGAGTGAATCAGTGGATAGATCTCTCTGTCTCCCCCACCCCTACCCTGTAACTGTGTGTGCCTTTCAAATAAATAAAAAATAAACCTTAAAAATATACATCTATATACTTATTTTGGAGGGACAGAGAGAGTGTTCTCCTACATACTGTTTTTTTTCCCCAAGTACCCTCCATGGCCAGGACTGGGACAGGCTGAAGCTGGAAACCATAAACTTAATTCAGGTCTCCCACATGGATGGCAGGAGCCCAACTACTTGAGCCATCATTACTACTCCCTGAGGTTGGCACCGGCAGGAAGCTAGAGTCAGAAGCCAGAGCTGGGCACTGAAACTAGGAACTGCTATATGAGATATGGTTGCAGATGTCCTGACTGGCTTCTGAACTGTCAGATCAAGTGCCCTTCCCAGTAAATATCTATTAAGCCCTACTATGTGCCAACTACTGGACTAGCCATTGTGGCCACAAGCATGAATGAGATAGGACAGCCAATTCCCAGTGCAAAAGTTTCTAATGGTTTTGACTACCATGAACTATAGGTTTTAATGTAATCTTTCTTTTGCCAACTCATCTCCCATTACACCTGTTCCCCTCTGCGCGCGCGCTCTCTCTCTCTACTCCCATTTAGATTCATTTTCAGTCACTGTAATGAAATATCTGTGGGTGAATAATTTATAAAGGAAAGAAGTTAACAGTTTTGGGGGCTGATGCACTAAATAGCATGGGACCAGCTCTTGTGAAGCCCTTGCCCCACCCCTAGTGGCATCACCTCGTGTCAGATGGCATCACAGTGGCAGGAGGGCACATGAGAGAGACAGGGAGAGAGAACTGTTTCTCCAGACAGGAAGCCAACAAGTGTAGGGAGGTAGGGGCCTCCCACAGGTCCCACTATCTCCGTACCACCACACTGAGGACCAAACCTCCAAAAATGAACCCTTGAGAGGGCAAACCACCTGTAAAACTTAGCAGCCTACAATGCTCTTCTTGGAACAGGTCAAATTTACTGCTAACTTGAAGCTTTGTTCTTGCTGTTTCCTGTCCTTAGAGTGTCCTTCCTCCAGTCTTTCAAATGGCTCATGTCTTCATTTCATTTAGGCATCAGCTCAGATTTTACCTTAAAGAGGTACATGCGACCTTCTATCTAAAATGCACCCAACTCCAATACTGTTTCTTTACCCTGCTTTATTCTTTGCAATGCTCACTGATTTCTTGGTTGACATATTTGTTAATTTAAAACCGCTTGAACAAGTTTGTTAGAATACAAGTTCCTTGGTACCTTTCTCTGAAGGGAAGAGAGAACTTCCACTTTGACCATGGCCTTTTCTAAAAATGATCGGAGTCGGTGAACTCAAGGGGCTTCCATAGCCTTGGCAGCTCATGACTAGAGCACAGGGTGATTACTGATGCCATAAACAAGAGTGTCAATTTGTTAAGTCAACAACAGGAGTCACTGTGCACTTACTCCTCATGTAGGATCTTTGTCCCTAGTGTGCTGTACATTGAGATTTAATGCTATAACTAGTACTCAAACAGTATTTTTCACTTTATGTTTCTGTGTGGGTGCAAACTGTTGCAATCTTCACTTAATATATGCTAATCTGATCTTCTGTATATAAAGAGAATTGAAAATGAATCTTGATAAGAATGGAAGGGGAGAGGGAGTGGGAAAGGGGAGGGTTGGGGGTGGGAGGGACGTTAGGGGGGGAAGCCATTGTAATCCATAAGCTGTACTTTGGAAATTTATATTCATTAAATAAAGGTTTAAAAAAAAAAGAATACAAGTTCCTTGAGTGCAGGGATTTTGATGTACCATTGTATCACTGTGCCTGGAACATCAGCTGGCCACAGAAGCTGCCTCTACAGATATCTGTTGATGCAATACATAAGGACTCAAAGGAATGACCTGGCAACAGCCATGTGGTCTAGCTATTATCCCCAGTGTATGACTGAGACACAGTGGCTTGGGAATGCCCAGCAGCTTGTCTAAGTGTCACAGCCAGCTGATCGCTCTGTATTCAAGAATTTCCAAATTTCTAGGATTTCCCAAGTCTATTTGGTTCTATGAAACCACACCTAGATAAAGAGTTAGGAAACTGTGCTTCTTGTCCTAAAATTTTCTGTGCAAGCTTGTGTAAATTAGAAAGCTCGAGTTTTCTAATCCTGGATATCCTAACCATGTAAAAACAGCAAAGAGTTTTTCTAAACAACTGCAGCCTTCTTATCAGCTCCATTATTTAAACTTACAGTGATTCAGGCCGGTGCTGTGCCGGCGCTGTGGCCCAGCAGGTTAAAGCCCCAGCCTGCATCCCATATGGGTGCCAGTTCGAGTCCCGGCTGCTCCTCTTCCAACCCAGCTCTCTGCCAAGGCCTGGGAAAGCAGTAGAAGAAGTCCTTGAGCCCCTGCACCTGCGTGGGAGACCCGGAAAAAGCTCCTGGATCCTGGCTCCTGGCTCCTGGCTTCGGACTGGCGCAGCTCCAGCTGTCGCAGCCATCTGGGGAGTGAACCATTGGACGGAAGACCTCTCTCCCTCTCTCTCCTCTCCTCTCTCTGTGTAACTGACTCTCAAGTGAAAAATAAATAAATCTTTAAAAAATAAACTTACAATAATTCATGTTTTTAAGTTAATAATTATTATAATAATTGCTTTCTGCATTGGGACAAAGAATGCATGAGACAGTGGTAAGGGTGTAGAACCCAACACCGTCACATTTACCCAGCAAGTCCACGTGAATCTCTCCTTTTTGTGATGGAGTACCAGGCAACTCTAACATTTACTAGGCAGCTGCTGCCCAGCCCTTGTTTGTTCTCTTGTTGTGGGCAACACATTTGGCTCTGTAAGCTCCAAATCTTTGTTTTGAACGTTAAGGGATCCTATGTAAGACGAAACTGAAATTCCTTGTTGCTCTGCAACTGTTATGGTGAAAATTTCCAACACAGAAGTTGGCTATGATGGTTTTGAGCTTTGATTGCTGCATGTAAATCTTATACTAGAAATATTATTTAACTACAGTAACACTAAATGTAGATTCCACGTGATTTTTCCTGAAAAATAAGTGAGATGAACTTGTAAACAAACAAATTTAATGGAACAACAGGACTACAAGCTTGAATGTGGCTCATTGACTCAAACTTCTCTCCATGGGCAACGATTCAAGTTCATTTCATGCACATCTCACGGACCTAGATTTCAAAGGCTGTTGTAGGCAGCCTGGGCCCCAATTGGGGATTTGTTATAGGAATGGAGCCACCTCAGAGAGCTTCTACTACTGCAATTTCCATTGGAATCATAGGAATGAGGCAGCCTCCAAGAGCCCAGAACTGTGGGACCACTAGTATGCAACTACAGCCTAGTAAAGCTGCAGGCATGAAAGACTCCAACTCATATGAGTTGTTGGGCTGAGGGTGGACTGAGCCCAGCAAACCACAGGGGCAGTGTGGCCTGAGGCTTTGGAAGCCCAAGTTCTGTCCCAGTGCCCAGGATTTGGGAGATAGTCAAAAGGGTAACTGGAATGGGAATGTAAACACTCTGCGTGTTCTGCTGGTCCCACCATTGTTATTTAGAACTAAATGGCTAGTTCAATTTCCTAAGTTCCCAGTTGAAGGGAAATTAGCCTCAGAATGAGTCATGCCTTGATTCTGATTTAGATGAGACCCTGGACTTTTGAGTTGGTACTGAAATGAATTTAGACTTTGGATCATTGGGATGTAATGAAGATATTTTACATGTGGAAAGTATATGGATTTTCAGGGCCAGGCTCAGAACACTATGATTTGAATGAGTCCCCCAAAAAGCATGTGGTGACTTAATCTTTGGTGCTACGGTGTTGGGAGATGGGGTCCTATGGACTTTAGGCCATGACAGTTGTGAAAGGATTAACAATTATGAAAGGCCTAGAGGGTGCACGTGTTCTGTCTCTGGCTCTCTCACTCTTGCCCTTCTGTGTTCTGCCACTGGGTGATACAGTAAGATGTCTCTTATCAGATGTGGGCACCTCAACATTGGCCTTCCCAGCCTCCATAAATGTTAGAAATAAATTTCTGTTCTTTGTAAATTACCTACTCTCTGGCATCCCATTATAGTAGTGTTACCGGAGAAATGCAGGGTTCTTGTCTTCGCGCAAGAAAGAATTCAGGCATGAGAGAGAGTAGTGGGAGGTAAAACAGCAAGGTTTATTAGGGTAGGGACATCCGTAAGGACGGATGGGCACCTCTCCAGACAGGACCTGAGAGTGCCCAGTCGCTTGGACTGGAGGCGGGGGGGGGGGGGGCCCTGAAAAAAAAACTTTTCATTGTTAGAAAGAAAGGAAAAAACTGGGGGCAGGCCAGGCGGGCGGCTCAGCAGAGAGGCAGAGGGCTGAGCGCGCAATCTGGTTGAGGCTGGGTTTTTTTAAGGAGATGGGTCTCTGTCCTCACACATCTCCTCCTGAAACAAGGATTTTATGGCTGTAAATATTAAGAAGCTCCTATCTGATTTTCCCTTGAGGGTATCAGACAGGAGGAAGCCTAGCTGGCGCCATCCTGGGTTCAGAGGAAGGGCGAGCAGGACCCCCTAGAGAATGGGGATCCGGAGCAGGGTGTTTAAAATGCAGATACTGGGCTGCATCTGGGAGATTGTGGAAGATTGCCAGGCAGAAGGGGCGGGGACCTCCACCTGGCAGGTTATCAGGTAGAAGGGGGCAGGGCAGGATGCGAATGCCGGGCTGCCCCTGAAACATTATCAGGATGACTTTGAGATGCAGCATATGCTGGACATAGACGTCTTCTCTTTAGGCCTGTCATACACACATAAGCTCATATCTAACTTCCTACCTAACAGTAGCACAAGATGATCTAGCACACTTGGTCACTTCCTAACCAAACTCTGATTTGGTTATGTATCTTTGAGAAATCTCTTCACTGCAGTATTATTTAGCAAATCCAAGAGGTAGAGATGGGCAAAGTTGGAACCAGATGTATAAGCTCATGAAAGTTAAATGTTAAATTGTGGGGCCAGCATTGTGGCATAGCAGGTAAAGTGGCTGCTTGCAGTTCTGTCACCCTATAAATACGCCGGTTTGAGTCTTGGCTGCTCCACTTCCGATCCAGCTCTCTGCTATGGCCTGGGAAAGCAGTAGAAGATGGCTCAGCTCCTTGCCCCCGCACCTGTGTGAGAGACCCGGAAGAAGCCCCTGGCTCCTGCCGTTGTGGCCATCTGGGAGTGAACCAGTGGATGGAAGACTTCTCTCTTTTTCTCTCTGCCTCTCTGTAATTCTGCCTTTCAAATAAATAAATAAATCTTTAAAAAATGTTAAATTGTTAGGAATTTGGGAAGGAATAGGAATTTCTATATCCTGCCACTAAATAGTTATTTAAATAAAATAAAATTCTATGAACCTATAAGAGTACTTCAAAAATTTCATGGAAAATGGAATTAGAAGTATGAGCATATTTTTGTGCAATAAAATTTTGAAATCTATGCGGAGTTCTTTCTTAATGTATATTTTCCATGCATTATGAAAAAAATTTACATTAAACTTTTTTTTGGCACTAAAATAAACTCACACTTTTACTTCCATTTCTTCATGAAATTTCTGAAGTATCCTTGTACAATTAAACAGTGTATTAAAAACAAAAGTAGTAAGTTCTTAAAGCTATTTCCTATTATCTCACTAGCTTTTACTATTATCTTGGCCCATGAGGTCGCTGCATCTCTGTGGTGGAAACACAATGCAATTGCGCACTGCTGTCCCCCATTGCTTCCAGGCTCTGTGTTCAGAGACCTTCCTACGGTCGTCTGAAACAGTCTAAGGCGGCAATAATTACACCATGGAAATCAGCAAACTCCTACAAACCAGGACTTTTTTGCTAAGCCTGGCAGCTAACTGTTAAACATTTACCGGTTCACCAGAGACTAGTATTAACTCTTGTTTTCAAATGAGGAGAACAGGGTTCAGATAACTAAAGTCATTTGTCAAGAATCGTACAACCAGAGGAAACTGGATTCAGACCCAGGTCTGTCTCAGATTTTACTTGATGAAAAGTCAATTTAGACTATAAAATTCTTTATACCTTGCCGCCAACACTGTGCGAGCGTGCATACACACAAACACGTGCGTGTACACACACACACGGATTTAACGCTATTGGCTGCCAGCAGCTGGGGAGTGTGTGAAATCAAGGAAACAGGGAGTCTTTAGAAACACACGCTTACTGATGGGGCTCCACTAGCTCCACGTGTCTCTGTCCTGGACTGCAGGTGCTGCTGCTTACAGTGTGTGCATGAAAAATAAATGAGCTCAGCTTCCTGGTTGGTACTGTGAAGTCACATCAACTAATCATTAAACAGGACAGCTAAGATATTTTAGCTACTCTTTAACTTTGAAAGACGTGTTATTAAGTAATGCTATTTGCAGACTACAGGCCTTGATCCTGTCTCTATCTGTGTCACAATTTTGTGTTTGTTTATATGGAAATTACTTCCTAGGTGTGACTTGAAATTTAGTCACATTGTCTTTCTGTTGCCAAATACCTAATTTTTTTTTCTCATTCAGCTACTCAATTAATCATCAATAAACATTTATAAAGATGAACACAACATGAGATCAGAGAGTTGGGCAAAACCATTTTGAATGTGACTTAGTTCAAATATTTTGTAGTCAAATACTCACTGAAATTTGAAGAAAAGGTGAATGTTATATCATTTTATCAGCTCTTAACCTTGCAGCTCACCAATGGTCAATGGCAAAGGTAACTGAAATGGGGCATATAGATATGAAACTACTGGATATTCCAAGCCAAGATTTTAAAATTTTTTTCTTAAATTTTTATTTATTGGAAAGTCAAGAGTTACAGTGAGAAGGAGAGACAGAGAGAGATCTTCCATCTGCTGGTTCACTCCCCAGATAGCAGTAATTATCTCACTAGCTTTTACTTTTGGCCAGCGCTGGGCCAGGCCAAAGCCAAGGGCCAGGAGCTTCATCTGGGTCTCCCATGGCAAGGGCCCAAACACTTGAGCCATTTTCTGCTGCCTTTCTCAGGCCATTAGCAGGGAGCTGGATCAGAAGTGGAATAGCCAGGACACAAACTGCCCCTCTTCTCCCCCACCCCCAATATAGGATGCCAGAGTCACAGGCAGTAGCTTTACCAGCTATGCCACAACACCGGCCCATTTTATTATTAATGCATTTTAATAGGAAAAACATCAAATGTCCACAGAAGTAGATAACACAGCATAACAAATCTATGTAACTAATACCAAGCTTCAGTCTTCATCGCATTCACAACAGTCATGGTTCATGGTCATGTTTCTTGCACATCTACATCAAAACCTGCCTGCCTCCTAATCCCCTGGTATTTTGTTTATTCAATTTACTATTTTATATATATATATATCCTAAATGGACACTTTGTTCATCTGTATTCTGGACACTGGATTCTACTAGAGCAAGAAGACATTTTGGGGGCACACACCCACTTTTATGGTACTTACCCATTCACGTTGTAAATCATTCAATCTTCCAACAACCCTAAAAGGTAGAAT